CCGCATAGTTTCCACACATGTGTCCGCAAAGTTTCCACACATGTGTCCACAATGTTTCCACATAGTTTCCACATGTGTCCACAAAGTGTCCGCATAGTTTCCACACATGTGTCCACAAAGTTTCCACATAGTTTCCACACAATGTCCACATTGTCCACAAAGTTTCCACATATATGTCCACAAAGTTTCCACACCATGTCACGTACAGTTCATACTTTGTCCACACCTATATTAACATTCAATTGGATTTTTTGCCGATTTGCCCTAAGTATTTTTTTTTTCAAATTTGCGCGCGCGCCGCGCATGTCCTCGCTCTATGTTTAGCCCACATGGTCGGGGTAGGGGACTGTCATCTGGAGGGTGCATTCCTAGATCCCTGGAAATTGGCCCACGGTCCCAAGGGTTCAGTCAAGTGTCATGCAGGAGGGCTAGCTCAGGCGTAGTGCGAACATCGGATTAGTTACCCCCCCCCCCAATCCCCAGAATGTCCAGAAGGTTTTTTGCATGTTGTTGTCTCTGAAAACAACAATTCCAGTCACTGTAATCAGTTGGAGGGTTTTTCTGCTTTACTTGAGCATTGGGCAATACAATACGTACTACTTACTACTTGAGTACCGGGCAACACTATATTACTATGTTTGAACTGGGCAATGTCACTTTTACTGGGCAATTGGCAATACTACTTTACTTTTTATGTTCGGGAGACTATGATAGAATGGTATCAGTATCGGCATCGGGCAATGTTTCATTTGAATTGGAAATGAAGACTCTGCAGAGATTCCTTTTGAGGTGGGCTTGTCACATCGGTTTTAGCCGGAGACGAGTGATGGCGCCGTTCTCCTGGTTTTCTGGGAGACTGGACGAGGCCGCGTTCGATCAGTTGCCCGATAATTTCCTCCGAGGATCTATCGGAGCATTTGCACTCTCCGCTCCTGTTCCCACGCGCAGGATAAGCTTTGGGAGAGGATACGAACGTTCGAGGCCCTGAGCGACAATATTCCGGTGAGTCAGATTTCATCATCGACGAGATCAAGTTCAATGGGCCGGCTTGCTGGTTGCTTCGACCGTCCTTGAGTTGAACATTATTATTAATGATTAGGCCCAGGCCGTTTGTAAAACATCGATTTTATTGCTGTGTCCCTGCCTGTCTCGGCCGGCCAAGGCGAGCAATCCTTTCTACATTCCGCAGGCCTGTGTGTTCTCCGGTCGTCGACGGGTGGTGTGACACGCAACGAGTATCATCGGGTGAAATTGAAACATAATGGCACGGGCTTCGGCCAATTTCAATCAAAGTGGAAAGTTGTGTTAGCCCGCACCAGGGGCTTAGGCTTCGGCTTAGGTTCAGTTTTCGGATTTGAGGGCCGGGCCGGGCGGCCGTCAAGGTTTCCATTCTGCCATACAGACGCTGGTCCGCGTCTTTTTTCAGTTTTAGTTTTCAATGTCGCAGCATTGGTTCATGTGGCTGTGTGGGGTTTGCTTCAAAGGCAGTGCATCTTCGGGCAGGTCAATCAGAGTTGCGCGGGCAGGTCGAACATTGGTTGTTGTGTTGAGCAACCATGAATCACATGAACCATCAATGAAAAAGCGGTATGAGATGAATTCCAGCTGTGCAAAGTGTCTAAAAAAGGGGGGGTTCCTGAAGGGGCACGGCACAGCCGCACAGCTTTGACATTAATTGTTAGACTTGATAGACTTGATAGACTGATATCACTGATATCACTATGACTATCACTGATAGACTGATAGACAGAGTATTTCCAATTCCTTGACTTAGACTGTCAGACTCACATTTGCTGCGTCCAATGTGTTAGTTACTGTTAGTTGGTGTGCTTTTTTTTGGGGGGGCGGCCTGGTTCTGCCGATGCTGCCGATGCTGTTTCCGCCCTGCCTGTCGCTTCCAGGACCACTGCTTCCTGGGGCGCCTGCGGCCAAGGCAAGGACACGTTTCCGTTGAGGGGGGGGGGGGGGCGTAGCAAACTGGGCTATTCCAAAAAGGCTATTTGAATCCCTGGCTTATTTTGGCTTGATTGGGGTTAGTTATTAGTTGGGTGCTTGGTTGCTTGCGGCTCAATGTTTGGTCAAACCTCTCAACACCCTGGACCCTCCCCAAAGTGGGGAATCCTTGAACTTGAAACTATAATCACGCAGTGGGACAGGTCAAATCTGTCAACACTGTCAACACCCTCCCCAAAACTGGGTTGTTCAACATGGGGAATCCTTAATCCTAATCGGTAATGCGAGCGCTCGACAAAATGATTGGTATTCGCCGCGGGCTTTTTGACATTTGCAAAAATAGGGGACTGCTTTGCGTTACAGCTGATAGCTTGGTCTGTTCCGTGTGAATCATCCGAATCAGTTCTTGTTCCTTAATCAGATGATGGTTTTAGCTGGTCGTTTCCCTTGTTGCAGTGGTGGCCCACTGCCCATTACCGATTAAGCATCCGATCAAAATACTAACAGGATTTAGGATTCCTCATTTTGAGCAACCCAGTTGACAGCTTTGACTCGCCCCCAACATTGCGAGAACTTGACAAACACAATGATTCACAATGATTAGTATTCGACTCACTCGACTTGGTTTTTGGAGGAATTTCGACATGTACCTTTCAAATAGGGGACTGCTCTTTACCTGATAGCTTGTTGTGTTCCATGTGAATCTGTCGCAATGGCAATAAGTATCGATCCTGAAGCCAGAGATGGTGTTTTTGTTCTTATTTGAGTTGTGGCCCACTGCGCATTTCCAATTAGGTTAAGTCAGGTTAAGATTAAGGAACCCCCATTTTGAACAACCCGGTTTGTGAAGTGTGTTGACAGGTTTTTCTCGGCCCAACATTGCGAGCAACCGGCAAACGGCAAAATGATTAGCATTTGACTGTGCTTGGTTGAAGGAATTTCGACATATACAAAGGGGACTGCTCGTTACATGATAGACTTGATGTTCCATACGAATTTATTTGCCCAATCGATTCTGGTTCCTCCTTAATCAGATAGTCGGTGGTTTCCCTTGTTGCAGTGGTGGCCAACAGCGCATTACCGGTTTGGGCCATTTGGATTTAGGACTCCCCATTTTGAACAACCCAGTTTTGGGAGGATGTTACCAGGATATAATATAATATAATATCACGATGTTGACAGATTTGGCCCCACATTACCCACATTGCTAGCAACCGCCAAGGGCCAAAAAGATTGGTATTTGACGGTTGGAGTTTTGACGTATTCAATTAGGGGACTTGTGACTGCTTTTTACAGTACATGATAGCTTGCTGTGTTCCGTGAGAATCTTTTGACAGGTGGCTCTATGTGGAAGGTTTGAGATTCAGAGTCACGGGTGTCTGTTTGCAGCTTGCAGGTGAATGAGTCACTGGTAGCTCTGTGGTCTGTGATTGTAGACTACAATGCAATGTTGTCCTGTTCTTGTGACTAGTCTGTGGCCCGCGTGCGGTGTCAATGATTGCATTCCCAAGCGACCCATGCGCCGCTTGCGATGCCTCCGAAGAAGAGACTGAAAGCCGAAACCGGAGCAGCGGCTGATGATGCGCGCGAGACTGACTCTGCTGGCGACGGTTCATCCTCAACTTCAAGCCAGCACGCGGCTGAGACGCCGCAAGCTGAGCAGGAATTTGACGAGGCCAGCATCGAGTTGGTGACGCCCTTCATTCTTCCCGTTGCAGCGGCGCCTCGGCTTTCCGAACTTTGGCAACGTTTGCGGTATGCTGAGCCATTTTGCAACGGTCTTAGTTTGGTTTTAGCTTTAGTTAAAATCTACCGAGTGTTTCGCAGTTGTGATGCCTGATTTTCGAGACCTGTTACTGTTGACTGTTAACTGGTCTAGTCTAGTAGTATTAGCAGTATTAGTACCTGTCGCTGTTAGAAGTACTTCCTGGATATGCGAACACCCAGTTGTTTTTTGGGGGGTCACTTTGCATACGTTACTTGGGCGTATGATTCGTATGAACGATCATTTTTGCCGGTCACAAAGCCGCCGTATACCGTAGTGAGTAGTGGCATTTGCCAGAGAACGATAAACTAAACACGAAACCCACCGTTTTGGTTTTCGGACAAGGGCCGTATACGGTGTACGATTGTACGATCCAAAAACCATGCATATGCCATGGGCCCATGGGTGTTGGGGCGTGGGCTGATAGCACTGATAGCCTTTTGACTGACTGGGGGCGTCAGACCAATGGTTTGCGGTTGGCCCTATGAGTCTATGGTCTATGAGTCTATGAGCCTATGGGACCTATGATAGGTGACCAATGGCACAATCGTGCTCTGTGCCCTATGGCTTAGGGCAATGTGACAGTGCCAATGGGCTTTGCCAATGTGCCAATGGCATTGATTGCGGTTGACATCCCATTGAATTGACTTGAAGTCAGGGATATTTCCGGGATAAAGTAAAGACGATCGACGATCGACTATCGACGATATGATAAATTACGTCAGCTGAGTGTGCTCCATGCTGCATACTGCTGCATACTGCATACTGTATACTGCATGCTGCATGCTGCATGCTGGCTGCCAGTGTTATGGTTTGTTGAGCCCTGACTGGTTCTGGGATGGGCTTGGGCTGGCGGGCTACGACAACTGTTTCGATTGACATATGCCGCAAATGCCATATGCGATATCATATGCGGTGTCCCACGTGTGATGGTTGATCAAATTTGCACTCGTTGACCGGTTGCCGTTTACCCTAACTGACACCGCGGTCACGAGTCATGTACTTGCTATGTTTGCGCTTCGGTAGTCGCTTTTGATTGTGAATTAGTGATCAGTGGTAATGTGTTTGCAATGCGCAGCTGCAGTCGCATTAAGCCGCTTGTGACCGCTTGTGAGTAGCAACCAACCGCCACTTACAGGGAACGGGGGCAGGTCCAGCACGTTCATTAGTCCTTGCCCAGACGCACCCAGATGCTCACAATTTACTTGGGGCCCTCAAACAGCCAGGTTTTCAAACCTGGCCCAAACACCTCCGGGGTGGCAATCTTGCATCTGAGGAGAGCATGCCATCCTCTAGCGCGCCGCACAGCTTCAATAAGCACGGTCACAGCCAGTTGATCGAGTGGATCGTGCGCGCGCTGAAGCGGCTGCCCCAGGAGATGCAGGCCTGCTTGCAGCGCTACCACCTGCATGCGGAGTCCAAGGAGCCGCTGAAGGTGGGCACCGCTTGCTCGGGAACAGATTCGCCAGTTCTGGTGGCGCGCGCCTACGCGGAGGCAGTGCGCCAACTGTGGGGAGCAAATCGCGAAGTAGAACACGTCTTTTCTTGCGAGAGGAACGCTAAAAAGCGACACTTTTTGGCCAATATGTTCTGCAACACATTTGACTCCTCGCACGCAATGGGCAGCCTCTATGAGGATGCGGTTGACCTTCAGTTCGGGCCGGAGGGCATGAGCCTGGACGTTCTTTCTGACAATATTTCGGAGGTGGGAACGTGCTGTGATCTTTGGGCAGGCTTTCCTTGTCAGGACGTGTCCAAGCTGAACCCGGCCGCGGGCCAGAACAGGTCAGTCATAAAGGATTCTGCAAAGAGGACAGGGGCGGTCTTCAATTATGTCCTGCGCTATTTCGCGAAGGTCTCTGATCCTGGCCGAGCTCTCCTATTGGAGAACGTTCTTGGCCTTTTGGACCGGCCGCCAGGCATCAACCCAGAAACCGGCCAAGACTTCCGATCAAATTTGGAACACTGCAATCACTTGGCCAGCAGGGCAGGACTGCGCATGTTTTCCTTTGTTTTGGACCCACGATGCTTCGGTGTCCCAGTTTCACGCCAGCGAGTTTGGATGTTCTGCTTGCCACTGGACTTGTGGCACGCCACAATGGGCGAAGCTTCGCTGGAGTCAACACAGGACCGGGCTGCAGTTTGAGCTTCAGTGGCACGCCCAGACCCCTCCATTGGACACCCCGGAGCCGGAGCTGTTTGGGTTTCAAAGCCTGGCTGAGCTGTTGACGGCCCCAAGTAAATTGGGAGCATTCATTTGGGCCTTTGGGCTGTTTCATGCGTGGTCAACGTCAAGAATGCAACGCCAACGTTAAATTCACTGTCCCATAACAGGCCCGCCTAAACGTGTGGGAACAGTGTCCAAATCGCTTGCCTTGAGTTAGCATTTCAGCATTTCGTTTGACTCGACCAGAACGTTGCCATTTTTATAAGGACCTTATATAGAGACTTATAGACTTATAGAACATAGGATGTCCTAGAGTCCAACTGGGACGCGTCCAGTTTGATATTATATTCTTTGTGTAGGATGTCCAAGTGGGACGCGTCCCGTTTGATATTCTTTTGTCCAAGAGTCCAAATGGGACGTCCCGTTTGATATTCTTTGTGGCTTTGTGGCCTCTCGTGTGCCCGATGCGCCGATGGTTGTGTGGAGAATCTGAACGAGGGATGTTGATTGGTTCATTTGCAAATTTGCGGCAAATTTACAAATGAATGGATTCATTGACTCCTTGTTTCACTGGCTCATGGAGCCATGGGCCATGGGCCATGGGTGTGGACCGGATCTATTGGCCCAGATGTTTGACTCCTTGTTGTTACTTGTTCCAATGAATCATTGCCAATCAATGCGTCCGCCAATTCAACAATGATACACGGATAGACGCGGTATATATATATATAATATACATACATATGTTTATGTAACGATCTGTATTATATAATAATACATTAACATTGTGATATATGAGATATGTCAATGTTACATTTCATTGCTGTCCTATCTGGGTTTGCTTTTGCATCCGGCTTGGGTGGGGGCTGCGCATCGCAACCTTGAAGGAGCTAGCTGGTCACTTGATGACCTGCCTTGCGGACCCCATCACGCGTGACCTTGACGACTTCCTGCTTCCTGACACTCACCAGCTGCTGCAAGACGATTTTGAAAAAGCACGGACGTCTTACATCAAGCGCAGCGCTTCTGCGGCCAAGGGGCATGCGAAGGCCAAGGCCAAGGCCAAGGCCAAGGCAGCTTCCAAGTGGCCAGAAGTTCATGCGCGCCTGTGTGAAAGGCTGGGGATTGACTGGTGGGAAAGCGGCGTGCCTTCTCAGGAGGTGTTGGACACCCATCCGGGACTGCTACGCCTGACGGACCGACAGTTTGACCTGCTGCGTTTGTTGGGCATCAGATTCCCAGACTCGCGCAAGTGCTGCATTGAGCTGAGTCAGAACTTGCGAAGCCCCACGTCTGTGAGGCGACTCAAAGACAACCACGCGGACATCGTCACCCCGCACGGGCAACAGCTGGTTGCTCACCGCGCTCGCTGTTTGCTAGGCTATGAGGCGCTCCTGCTGCAAGGGATCCACTACGGCAAAGAACAGTTCAAGATTGAGCTGGGCGATTTCCCTGACGAGCTCTTGCGGGACCTGGCTGGGAATGCCTTCAACGCGCATTGCGCTGCTGCGACGTACATCGTCAGGCAATGCATCGCGGCCCACCTGTGGCAGGTCAGCAGAGATGTGGCAGCAGCCTCTGAAGATCCTGCCAATGATTTGTGCGTTTTTGATGACTAAGACATGACACTGCCGATGCCAGGCGAAAGCACATTCTTGACCGCCAACAGCTCCGCTTATTTTTGCCGGCTTCGGCTTCTTCTTTGTAGGCTCACTCATTGGGTACGCCCCGATGGCGATGCCGGCCTACTTTGACTTGCACGATCGACGATCGTGTTGCATTGTCAGCACTGGCCGTGCCACACAGCATTTGCATGCTGCAGATCTGCCCAGTGCCAAGCTAAGTTAAGGCTTTTGGAACGTAGGCGGTTGCCGATTCGCCTGGAAAGAGAAAAGCGTGCGCAGCCCATTTTTGGTTTGGCAATGCTTCAGGGACAAAAATAATAATAGCGGTATAAACAGAGATTCTTGGGCCTTGGGGATTTCTTCCTGAATTTCGGGGTCTTTTCTGGCCATGTGAGTCATGTCATTAAATTATAGTATAGTTATAGTCATAGTCTCATAGACTCATAGACATAGACTCATAGACTCATAGACTCACATAGTCTCACATAGACTCATTGACTCATAAACTTAATGACTCATAGTCCTCATAGTCTCATAGTCGCCTCATAGTCTGAGCCGCTGGGCCCTCGGGTTTTCCGGTGTCTTCCGGATGAATGCTGCGGGGCGTTAATATTAAATGGGGATCGGGATTGCAGCATTGCAAGTGTTGTCGCATTGCTCATGCTAATTTCTAGACCCCTGAAGCATGACGTGGCTCACAATTCATGGCCCCGTGTGTCACGGCCAAAGGTTAAACACACCCATTGGCACATTCACATTGGCCTATTGGCTCATGACCGGACTTGACTGAAAGGCTCGTTGGCTCAGGCTCAGAGGCCCATAAGATGATAAGACTCTAATACACCCATTGTCTCCTGCTAGACTCAGTGACATTGATTGACTCATACACTCATAGACTCATAGACTCATAGACTCATAGACTAATAGACTCATAGACTCTTTCTTAGACTCTTAGACTCTTAGACTCTTAGACTCTTAGACTCTTAGACTCATACACTCATAGACTCAGACTCATAGACTCAGAAATCATAAACTCATAGACTCATAGACTAACACGACAAGGGGCTGACGAATTTGCATCCGTTTGGATCGGACTTGACGCACACGTTGCCGCAACGTTGGAAAGACGAACGCATGGACGAGGAAGTTGTGTCGCACCTGAGCTCTGATACTCGCACGCGCCATTCTTCCAGATGCGCTCTGAGAGCGGTATAGGACCTAGTGGTAGGACGCACCGGCTTTTTGTTGGCGCGTGCGTGCGCGCGCGTAGCCCCAGTGCATGAACGGCCTTTGTGAAACCCGCAAACCGTAGATAGACTACTAATTAGATAGTGATAGGAGTCATAGGCATCGGCATAGGCTCATACTGCACTGTACTCATATTATTATCGCAACATAAATTTCAGATTCATATTTGATACAATACCTTCCCGTAGGCCAAAGGGCCAAATGGTGACGCGTTGCCGCGCAGCATGCAGCAGGTTGCATGGTATGCCCACAACCAATAGTAATTGGTAACCAATAAGTAATAAGTAGCTGGTCCAGCTGGTGATTTCAGAACTTAAGCTGTGTTGGGCTGAGTTGGACTCTGAGTCGGGTGTCATAGTTAGATGTCACATAAGTTACTTGTCAAAAGTTGTAGTTAAATGCACAATTGATTCAATTGATCGTGACAAGACTGATGACTCACGACATAATGCACTGTGCCTTGTTGACCTGAGTTCACGGCAGCTACAGTTACATACGTTACATCATCCCATCCGCTGCAATTGAAGCCATCGCAGTATCGATTGAGCGCAGTACTCAGGGTTGTTGATTGCCTTGTAACTTGTAACTGTCGTGACGTGTTGTAACATTGTTTGTTGCAGCAGCAGGCTTTGTGACTTTGGTCGTGTGACTGATGATCTGATGTAATGATGTAGTTAGTTGATGCGTTGAAACAGGAAGCGGGAACCTGTTGACGCGGACCGTAGTATGCGGTAGGGACGACTACACTAAATGGAGCAACTTGAGCCAGCTTGGCAAGCGTGTTGGCTGGGCAGGTTCTTGCCTTCCTGGCAGTTTGCAGCTTGCTGCTAGCTGCTTGCTGCGCTGCTTGCAGCGCATTGGGGGAGCAGGCAGGCTAGGCAGCGAAGGGTGGCGAGAGGACCCTGGGCCTGGGTTTTGCTTGTGGCTGAGTACGGTAATAGTAATAGTCTGCAACGTTGCGATGATTTAAATTTAGGGAAGTTCCAAGTTCTCCAAGAAATCATTCGCACGGGGTCCGCTTCAATCAGTACGTTTCGTAGAAGGACCATTTCCGCACGGCGGTTTGCATTCTGTTTGGCTGAGGGGGTGTTGAAGTTTGCATATTATTCTTATACTGTATTTGCTGCATACTGCATACTGCATACTGTTACATACTTGTTAAAGTTACTTGTTCTGAGCAATTGTTAAGTTATTGTCATTGACGAGTCGAGTCATTGTCATCCGATTTGGTTGCAGGGAGGCGGGAGGGATGCCGTTCTCGTGGCTGGGCTGTTTCATGTTGCACCCTGCCACATGTTGAGAAAAACGCTTTCTTCACCTCACTTCTCTGGGGTGGGTCAGCGGCTTTTAAGTTGCAAGCCACAAGCCCGAATTGACCACGTGATCCATGAATGCTAGGCTAGGTCTAGCTTTTGAACTCGATCGAACAGGTCATCGATGGCTTTTGTTGTGATCAAACTCATGCGTTGTGTGCCGTGCAGACTGGTGAAAGTCACGCTGCATTTGAGCAATCTTCTAAGCCATGGGCCATGGGGATTTTGATTTTGATGGCTGGTGACAGCGAGTGGCTGAGGCTAATGAACAATGAGGCATGGCTGCGTGGCCCACGGCCCAAACATTTCCGTTAATCATCATATGGTTTTCATGGATTCATGGCCATTTTCAAAGACAAAGACTAAGACTAAGACTTACCAAAGGTCAAAGTCAAATTGTCAAAGATCCATGCTGGTCCATGCTGCAATGCTCCATGGCCCCAGGCCCAAGCTTAACCCCTTCGCGTGTTTTGGATATTCGTTTCCTCGGTAGTTCCCGGCCCCTCTTCGGAGGCGACAGCCACGCGCGGCGGACGGCGCATTGCCGCATGGCCCAGGCCATGGGCGCGACACGACGAGACTGTGTTTGAGATCCATTTGGGTGGGTGTGTTTTTTCATGGCAGCCCGCCCAAATGGCAGCGGCTTAGACACTTAGGTAAGTCACTAGTCACTTAGACTTAGACTGAGAACTAGGAGTCAAGAGTCCGAGTCATTGCATTATTAATAACGGCATTATTTGTTCGAGTCTCGGCTCCCTCTCTGGTTTGTTTTTGCTGTTTTTTTCCGTTCTCCGGGTTATTTCCAGGAGGCGCCCTTTGACCACTAGGGCCACCGCTTTTACTGACAATGCAGAATGAACTCTGTGTTTGATTGCGGGTGTTTGCGGGTTTTTGAGAGAGTTTGTGGCTGCGAGCTTTTTCCGCTGAGTTTTCGGGCGGGTGTGGCCGTGTTTTTTTTTCTGGTTTTTCCAGCTTGGAATAATTCAGAATTCCGAGTAGTTCTGAATGTGATTCTGTTTCATATATGCTGCATGATTCTGATTCTGAATCTGAACATTTCGGAATTGGAGTTCGGAGTGCTCCTTCCGTTGTTATAGAACATATAAGTAACATGATTCCATGATATTTGCGATTTCTTGGGATTTCAGTTGTGCAAACCAATTTCCAGGAGGGACAATCAGAATCAGTTTCTAGGAGTTTGATTCGATTGCTTTACAAATTTACTTTTCTACCTGAAACACCAGCCCAGTGGATCCAAGTTAAGTTACCAGACGGTAACCGGCTTTTAAAGGCTGGCTGGTTCCCTTTAACTTTTAACCTTGTTACCGGCTAAACACGTCGGTTTAACCTTGTTACCGGCTACACACGTCGGTAAATAAATCCACTGGGTACGGGTAGGAGTTTGAAAGCTCTGTGTTTTTTCATTTGAGACCAATCTCTAACTTTAAACTAAACTAACCTGGCGCAGCTGGGCAGCAACCAGACAGGATCAGCAGCGGCATTGGCAGACCCCCGCGGAGTCGCATTTGCAGAGGTTGCTGTGCGACCGTGAGACTGGTTCGGGTCAGACACTGTGCATGATCATCGTGCTTGCGAAGTTCTATTCAGACGAACGTGTCAAGCTGGCGATATTGCCACATTGCAGAGAGGCAGCCGGCTGGCCCGCCTTTGATTCCAGAACTGAATGTGGCGCTGTGTCCTGCTGAAGTGCTCAAGGAAACGGGAACCTTCAGGAACATGGTTCTGGCTGGTTAGTTGGGGGCTTCCACTCACTCCATTCGGAAATCGAGATTGAAACTTAATCAGAAACGAGTTTGGAAATCTGGATTCGCCCAAATCACCAAATCACCAAGTCGGTTATGCTGGCGTCCCCAGAAACGGCAGAGCCGCGTTGCGTTGTTCAAAGGCAATCCAGAACCCGTACCGTATACCTTGGTTTACCCAAGCGATGTTTCGGTTTCCTTTCCCTATGGATTTGGATTGGCCAACCTTCCATCAGCGGAGGCTAGTTCTGGGGTCAACGTATGTTACCGTATGTTGTGTTTCCTTGAGTTTGCATTTATCTTGACTCTTGGTGCAAATTGGGAGTCAAGACCAGAATGCATGCTGCCAACAATGTTGCATTTGAATTTTGGCCAGTCTTATAGGCTATAGGCTATAGGACGTCCAAAGAGTCCAAATGGGACGCGGCCCGTTTGATATTCTTCTTTGAAACTTCTTTGTGTAGGATGTCCTGATGTCCAAGAATCCAACCCCGTTTGATTTCATTTGTGGCTTTGTGGCCTCTCGTGTGCCCGACGGTTGTGTGGAGAATCTGGACGAGGGATGTTGATAGGCTACATTGATAGGTTCATGAATGATTCTGAATGATTCATGATTCTCGTTCCTTGACTCCTTGTTTTATTTGCACTCATGGGCCATGGTTCGATTCAT